CCCCCCCCCGCAAAAAAGTATGTATGAACAAGGTAATGGCTTATTTGTCTTCATGTCCCACTGTCTGCGATTCTAATTCAAACCATACATCAGTATATCTGCTCCCAAAATGCAGTGTCTTTTGTGGTTTTAAGTTTTGTTCTACATTTTCCTCCCACTCTATCCAGGACCTTCTAACATGATCCTTTTCAGATCCAATAATCATTTAGTTTTTATTTTATCTATTTTTAAAATTTATTTGTAGCAATTTTTAAAAATCAATATTGGGGGCTGGTATAACTCATCACAATCCATACATACATCCATTGTGTCAAGCACATTTGTACATTTGTTGCCATCATCATTCTCAAAACATTAGCTTTCTATTTGAGCCCTTGGTATCAGCTCATTTCCCCCCCCTCTCCCCGCTCTCCCTTACCCCCATGAACCCTTGATAATTTATAAATTATTATTATTTTGTCATGTCTTACACTGTCTGATATCGCCCTTCACCCACTTTTCTGTTGTCCAAGCCTGGACCCTTCTGTTTTCCACATTTTTCGGCCATTCTGTCCAGGTCTTTCTAATGTGATCCTGTTTAGGACAGTCAGTGATAGCCAGGCACCATCTAGTTCTGCATCATCTAGGTTGTGGCCCTTTGACTGTAAGTCTACATTTCAGTGGCATTAATTATGTTCATAAGGTGGTGCAACCACCACCAAAACTTTTTCTTCACCCGCAACAGGAATTTTTGTAGCCATTGCATATCAAGTCCTCATTTCCCTTCTCCCAAGTCTATGGTAACTACGAATCTATATCTTTATGTTCTTGCCTATTGTAGATAAAAACCTATATCTTTATGTTCCTGCTACATATAAGTAATATGTACTCATGTGTCTGGCTTATTTTAGCATAGTGTTTTCTAGTTTCACTAATGTTATAGCATATATTAGCACATCATCCCATTTTATAGTTGAATAATATTCCATGTTACACATAGACAAATTGTGTTTATTCATCTCTGATGGACATGTTCATTTCCACTTTGTCTGTTGAGAATAGTGCTTCATTGAGCGCTGGCGTCCAGCCGTCTGCCCTGCAGCTCTCCAGTCTTAGGGATGTCTGTAGGACCGGCATTGTGGTGTCACATGGTGGTTCTCTGTTCTACTTTTTGAGGAACTGCTGAGCTGTTTGCCACGCCATCTGTATTGTTTGTTTTCCTCCCAACAATGGATAAGGTTTCCACATCCTTGCCAACAGTTCTGTTTTTTCAATTATAGCTGTCCTGGTGGGAGGTGGTTTCATTTTTTATCTCCCTAGTGGCTACGGATGTTGAGCGTCGCTTCCTGTGCTTACTTGTTTTTGTGAATCTTCGTTGGAGAACTGTCTGTTCAAGTCTGTACCCGTTTTTTATTGGGTTGTCTTTGTTGTTGAATTGTAGGAATTCTTGACATACTTTGGGCAGGAAACCTTCATGGTATATATGATTTCCAAATGGTTTCTCCCTTCTGTAGGTTGTCTTTTCACTTTCTTGATAATGACC